TTTGGCCCACAGGCTGTAGTTTGCTGACTCCTAATCTAATTGATCATATTTTTTTCCTATGCATACATACCTACCATAAAATGCACTTTATAAATTAGGCTCAGTAAGAGATTAACAACAATAACTGATGATAGGCCTGGGGTGGGGGACTGGTGCAGGCTAGAATGGGTCTGTGGGAGCGCACTGACCACCAGGGGCAGCTCCTGCGTTGAGCATCTGCCCCCTGGTTGTCAGTGTGCATCATAGCAACTGGTTGACTGGTCATTCCGGTCATTCTGGTCATTTGGTCGCTCAGGCTTTTATATAGAGAGATGTTATTACAGGCGAGAAGAGCCTGGTTCCTATTGGAGCGACAGGGACTATTTCCCTAATTACTGTACATAGATAATAGCATTTATTCTGCCACCTCCCATGGTATTCAATCAGGCAAATTTCAATGAAAAAAAAAAAATTGATTTGCCAAAAATCAGACATTTGTTAAGTGAAAAAAATATACATATGGCAGCATAAGTATCAACAGTCAGTCACATTTTATTCTTTGAAGGCTCTCAGAGAGCACTTCTTATTCGAAGTTCTATGTAAAGATTATGAAAGATTATGAGACTAGCATCCTCCTGATGGAGGGAAACAGAAAGGCAAGTGGGCCTTTGTTTTTAATCCTCACCAGAGGATATTTTCCATTGATTTTTTTTTTTAAGAGAGAGTGGAAGGAGCGGGTAGGGGAGAGAGAGAAACATCAATATGAGAGAAACGCATTGATTGATTGCCTCCCACACTCGCCCCAACTGGGCTGGGGATGGAACCTGCACCCCAGGTACATGCCCTGAACTGGGAATAGAACCTTTGACCCTTACGGTAAGCAGACTGATGCTTTAACTAGAGCCAGGGTGTAAGTGGGCTATTTTTGAAATCACAACTTTTAATCTAATTGCAATTTCTAAAGTAAACCTAAGGTACTGCAGAGAACAAGAATCTAATCTAATCTAATCTAATCTAACCTTGGCAGCATTGTGATTTCAAACTGCTAAACCACGTGGTATCCTCCCTCTCCCTTGTGTGGGCTTGCAGATTTGCCTTCACCAAGGATCTTTCTCTGTGTCTTGGTTATGTCCTGCAGCACTCATGATGGATGAATTATTGTCAAGGACAAACCAAGGCTCTTACTTTTTACCAAAACAACTTTTCATGGGACACAAAATTTTTTTCCAGGGGAGAAATGCAAGTTTAGCATTATGCATTTCTGTTAATGAGTTAATGAGGATGATCTAATACAAAAGATGTTTAAAATAAGAACAAACTCAGAGAAGCAACTGCAAGTGGTAGGCTTGAATTAAGGGTAAATATATGCAAATTTTCCTGGCCTTAAAACTGTCTTCTGAGGAAAATGCCAGTGTTACTGATTGTTTTCCGGAAGTTAAATGTCAGTCACCCAATTGTTTTGCCTTTTACGGAGATCACTAGAAGAAAATACTTCTAATCCAACCCAAAGTGTCACTTCTAAAGAAAAATTATGTGCATGTGCCCATGATGACCACAAAGCATGGAAGTATTTGGTTTTGTTTATTCTTATAGCTTTTCTAAACTGTTAAGACAATTTCTTGATCTCGCTCCCCACACCTTCAACAACCTTCCTCCTCTATGGATCTTTATAATCTCATCTACAATAAAGACCAGGAATTCTCACTGAGTCCATTTCAACAGAAAGACTTACAACTTGAGGTACTTCTCTGTAATGAGATGTACATCCTCCTGATTCTAGTATGTTAAAGCATCTTAGGACTTAGTTTCTAAGTCTCATAAATACTGTAGTTTAATAAATGGTGGTCCATCTTTGGTCCCAAGAAGCAGGATAAAGGACACATAAAAAACAAAAACAAGAGATCTATCTAATGGAAATAGGAAAAAAATATATTATTTGTTAAATCTTAGTGGTTGGTAATATCTGATGTTTTGTCTGTTTTATTTTTATTTTATTTGGAATGCTTCATGATTTCTAAAATTGTACTTCTAAGGGAAAAAAAAAGCTAAAGAAGTTACCAGGTGCTCAAATTCTAAATGAAGAAATGAGAAGGAAGAGGAAAATTTGCACAGAGTTTTTCTTTTTCAGGGGCAGTAAGTTGAAGAAAACTGAACTGCCATTGCACTGGAGGGACAGTGATCTAGGGGGTCCCTGGGAGCAATATTCCTATTCCACTGAGGAGGTGAGCCAAGATGCTTATAAGCTCTAGAGAACCTTTAACACAGGAAGCTATTTATCATAACAAGCTTGGTTGATACTGTTCCCATACTGAACCAATTAGGTTCGCCTATTTCGTCATACTTCATAACTTGGGATGATAGGTTTCCAAGTATGGTACAGTGTAGTAATTGAATTTTGATCAAACACACATGGCCCATAACCCAGTATGTGAAATTTTCTGAACAGTTCACAGCTTTTAAATATCCAGTCAACATGTTGCCAAAAGTACAGGATGTACTTGATGCAAGGGGGAGAGAAAGGGGAGGGCTGAGTCTTGGTAGAGCTGTAAAACAAATATTTTTGTTCTTGTTCTCTTCTTATTTTTCAAATAGCCGTTGAGAAAGGCCGTGGGATATCCTATCATAACTCAAGTCTTCCCCTTGCTTGCTTCATGTGCATAAACATCTTTGAGACTCATTTTGGATTACCATTTATTTGTTTGCATGAAATTATTTTCATGTCAGAGTCCTGTTACACGGGACCTGCTAGCATTTCTCATTGCAGCACCATCCAAGGAGTATTTTGTGCACTGGGCAAACACGGAAACTCTTTTGAACAAAGGTACAATCCTTGCTTTCCTGTGATCTACTGTGGATGGGAGACAGACCTAAAACAAATGAAAACGTCAATGTTTTCTAAATGACAACCCGTGATAACATGAAGGAAAAATAGCGCATCAGGGAGGACATCTGATTGATCCAGGAGAGATGGAGTGGAAAGGAGAATCAGGGAACACGTCTCCAAGAAAGTGCCATTGAAATTGATTCCTGAAAGATGAGAAGTGATCCAAGAGACTGAAGGAGTATTCCCAGGAGAAGTAAACACGTGGATAATCCTTGAAGTAGGCAAGACTTGGGCAAGTTCAAGGACCTGAAGGCCAGTATATTCAGTGAGAAAGACGTGGAGACAGACCACCAAGGCCACGTAAAGGATTATGCTAAGTGCAGCCACTGAAAGGTGGTAGGCCAGGGAGTGACAGGATGGGAGGCAGGCAAGACAAGAAGCAGAAAGGCTAACTAGAAGGCCTTGGCAGTGGTCCAGGTGGGAAGCGATAGTGGCTTGGAACAGGGTAATGGCAGAGATGAAGAGCAGTGGACAAATCTGAGAGATATTTTAGAGAAAATGTGACATGACTTGGTGATAACTGGGCTTGGGAAGTGAGGGGAAGGGAGGTTCCAAGGACTTTTCCAGGTTTCTAGCTGGAACAACTTAATGAATAAAGTCTAATAAATAACTACTTGTTAGTATGACATTTAAGGCTACACCAAAGCCATAGGAGAACTACGCTCACCAGCTCCGTACCTGCAGTGACACTCTGCTCTCATTGGATTTTGTAGGAGCAGATGCATTAACTCGGTGCAAGGGATTCAGAAATTTTCCACCTGCATCCGCATCCAGCTGTCCTTACCATAAGCAGAAGAATGTGCCTGAGCTATGAAAATCAGACTTTAATCTAAACTTACAATTTTTACCGGTATCTCTGCAGACACAGTCGTAGGTGTCTGGCAGTTGAACTAGGCGACCCTGAAAGAAAACAAATTGCCCTTTTTAAAATGTTTAAAAACCAAGCATGTTTCTTTACTCACTCAACAGATTTTCCTGAGTGTTTTTAGCGTGATGGGTATGAGGTAAACAAGATGTGTTCCTTGCCTTGGCAAAGAGTATATTCCATCAGGGGAAAAAAAGGCATAAAGAAATATGCATAACACAGCGTCGTGTGTTACATAGATCAAGCCACACAGTTCTATTTAACAGATGACAGGATTATTAATTCTACAGAGGGGACTGGCACCTGGGCATGGTTATGAAGGACTTCAGAGGGGCTGCATCTGAGACAAGCTTTAAAAGACAAACAAGAGTTTGCTAAGCAGAGAAGAGGATGGGGAAAATGCCAGGGGGAGGAGGAAACAGCACAAGCCAGGGCATGAGGGCCCTCAGGAGCACTGGCTGCTCAGAGCTAAAGGCCTTGGGGGATACACGCAGGGGTCTGATTCCAGATTGGAAAAGTCATCCTTCCATTCTGAAGTCTGAAAAACGCTTCCAGTCTCACATGATTTACTAGTATTGCTATCACTTGACCCACTAGAGAGTTCTAACTTGTGTAGGCTCGACCCAACAGAGACCTGTTCATGTAATTCCTGCCTGAATATTGCCCGTGTTCATGTGAACTTCGATTTACCTATTGAGATGAGTGGTCCTCTCTCCCATGGCTCGTAATCAGTCCCACTACTTGGCCAAGGCCACAGGACCCAGCTTTCAAGGTGCCTAGAGAGGTGTAGCAGTGGCCCAAGGGAATGCTTGTGTGAGCGGGAGAATGCAGACATTTCGTTTCTGTCTGGCAAACTGGTGCCATTTGTTGTAGAGCTGCCCTTGTACAACAGCGAGTGGCCACCCCGCCCCCCCCCCCCAAAAAAAAGTGTGTGTGAGAGAGAGAGAAAGAGAGAGACCTTTACATTTTAATGGCTGTTCACAGTCCTTAGGGAGTTAGCAGCTTTGGCCTGGAGGCTGCTCCCCCACCTGTCTCCAGGCCCTGCAAGCGCAGCTGTGTGCGATGGAGACAGAGCCTCCAAGGAAAGAAGTGGTTCTGTCGTGCGGGGGGTGGGGGGGAGTGTAACTATGGGAGTGCCTTTCTCACAGACTCACAGGGTCAGGACCTATGTAGCAACTGCAAAAAAATAGCAAAAGGGACATTAGTCAGGCTTCGTGTTTTGCTCAACTACATGTTAGGTAAAAGATTTCAAGACCCAACTCCAGAGCCACTTTAGAAATGTTTTTTTCCGAAGGAGGAGACAGAGCACACGCGGAGCTGCGAGGGAAACGGGGACCCCGCACCCCACACCCCGCCGGCGCACGGCGGGTTCTCCTGCCTCGGATGAAACGCCTCGGATGAAACGCACACCGATCCCTGCTCTCTCCCAGATCTGCAGTCCCGCGCACAGAACGCAGCACCTCCCGGGAGAGCGCCTCGAAACTTCGTGATCGGTTTTGCTCGGGGCTGAACAGCACGGGCGTTTGTGAAGTTCAGCTCTTTAGAAAAGCCAGCAGAGGCGAGGTCTCCACAGACGCAGATCCAAGCGCGTCCAGGGTGGCCAGGGGGGGCCGCGCCCCAGAGGACGGGGACCGGCGCAGAGGGAAAGAAACGAGCCGGGCAAGAAGATGAAAACCACAGCGAGGAGGTATTTTCGGTATCATTTTAATCACAAAACAGCACGAATGCGGTCTGTGCCTGCGTGCTACCCAAACGCCGATTTGAATACCACGGAACGCGAGTTTGAAAATTTCCATTTTTGTAATTTGCTTTCCTTTGTTCAAGCCAAGACTTGAGAGAAACCTGGCAGCCTTTCTCTGAGTCTGGCACGATTTCCCCTCAGACGCACTCGGTGGGTTGGGATGTGGAGGGAGACCGCACAAGAGAGAAGGGGAAAGAGGGAAAGAGCGATGGGAGAGAGGCTGCCAGAGAGCAGAGAGCAGGCCCGCAGCCGCCTGCCAGGGCGTTTGGCTCCACCTGCAGGAATCCGAGGGCAAACCCATCAGGCCCCTCCGCTTCCACGGACAGCAGGAGGGGCTGGGGGGCCCTCTGACCACCGCCTAGAGTTCCCCCGCCTGCAGGAATGGAGTGTAAGGACTTGGGATGCAGGGATCTCCATCACCAGATCAAAAGCCACTATCAGATTCAGCACAGGGATTTATACTTGGAGGAATCGATACAGCATGCCTCCTCCTGCAACCTATGGATTGATTTGAGGGCAAGGGCAGTGTCTGGTCCCCAGTCCAGGCTCGGCACCTAGCTGTGCTCAAGTGTTGAATGAATGAGTGGACAAGCAAATGAACCCGGCGCCCTGAATAATCAACTCTCAAACAAGAGACCGAATGTCATAAAAACAAACACCCTTTTGTTTTCCAGGTGTATTGATGAGTTGAGGGGCACTTTGTTAGTGGCCAGTTATTGCTTCAAGGACTGGGCACCATGGGGACGAGTCCAGTGTTCCACCTCCAACCTGAGTAGCAGTAAGAACTACTCACTTCATCTCATGCCCTTATTTTACAGACTAGAGGCCCAATGCACGAAATTCTATTAAGGGGCTTGGCCCTCCCAGCCATGGCAGCTTGCCTCGACCCTTGCCCTCGCAGGCCCCAGCTTCATCTGGAAGGACATCTGGAAGGTCATTTGGCTATCCGATCTAATTAGCATATTACCCTTTTATTATTATAGATGAGCAAACAGAAGCCTGGAGAGTTTTTACCCAGGTCAATCGGTTTGTTGATGATAGAACTCATTCGGAGCTAAATGTCCCTGACCTTCTCTCTGGTGTTTGTTTTCTGCAGCAAGAGACTGATTCTGCCTTCAGGTAGAGCGACCTGCGTGGATACTCCCACTGATTGGCTGTCTCAGGAGGAAGTTGGCTTCCCCACCTACCTGTTGTCCTGTCCGGGAGCTTCTGTCCCAGCTTCCGCTCTGGGCCAAGGCAGCTGCTGGGGAGGCTCTACTCCAAAACTCACGTGCTGCCTGGAGCTGATGCCAACTGGTGGCTAACCTTGTGAATTCGTTTCCTAAAGCCGACAGGACAGAATCTTTAAGCTCACGGGGTTGGTAAGCCACAAACAAGCAGGTGCGTTGTTTTAACAACACAGGTGTCTTATATCCTATATCTAGCACATCTACTTATCCAAAGTGCTTAATAAGTAGTTCTTGAGTTTCCCAGTGATAGTTATAGATGGTATTTACCAAGTGAAAAAGAATTTTCGCTGTAGGCAGTTAGCACTCACTTTCCAAATAAAATTTTTTTAAAGGTGAAGATTTTACTTATAAATGGGATTCCATTTGCATTGTGTCAGATGAGTGTGATGCAGTGGAAGTTGGGGATCAGAAGATCCATGTTCTAGCCACAACCTGTCTATAAAATGGAAATAATACTGTCAAGGCCTTTGAAAGGAATAAAAATGAGTCATTCTTACAATAATAATCACAATATTCATAACAGCTTTGAACTATTATGAAGTGCTTACTACATTGCAGGCTCGCTGCTAACCACTTTAAATGCATTATCTAATTTAGTCTCATAACAACCCCACGTGATTGCAATTATTATCCCATTTTACAGAATGAGAGAAATGAAGCTCAAAGAGTTTAAGATCCTCACCTATGGTGGCAGCTTACAGTGGGAGGCCAGTGTTGGAACCCAACTCATAGCTGACTCTGGACTCTTAAACTTTATATTACTCAATAAAGTAATATAATCATTGGCTGATTCCATGCTGAAGGCATTCAAATCTCTACCTCTAGTTCTTTCTCCTGGGAACTCTATACTTTTATTTCTAATTACTGAAAGAATATCATTAATTGAATATTCCTCTACTGTTTAAATTTAAAAAGGGCCTAAACCAAACTCCTTTCTTCTGTTCATAAGCTTTACTGAGAGCCATCCATGTTCAAACTTCCAAACTTGGTCTAGACCAGGGGTGGGCAAACTTTTTGACTCGAGGGCCACAGTGGGTTCTTAAACTGGAGCGGAGGGCCGGAACAAAAGCATGGATGGAGTGTTTGTGTGAACTAATATAAATTCAAAGTAAACATCATTACATAAAAGGGTACGGTCTTTTTTTTTTTAGTTTTATTCATTTCAAACGGGCCAGATCCGGCCCGCGGGCCATAGTTTGCCCACGGCTGGTCTAGACAGTGCTCTCAGCAGGGGGTGATTTTGCTCTCCAGGGGACATTTGACAATGTCTGGAGATATTTTTGGTTGTCCCAACTGGGGGTAGGGTGGTGCTACTGGCAACTAATTAGTAGAGACCAGAGATGCTGCTAAACAGCCTACAATACACACACCATCCCACCACAACAGAGAATTATTCAGCCCCAAATGTCAATAGGGCTGAGGTTGAGAAACCCTGATTTAAGAATATGAAGATGAATGAGACAGAGATCACCAGTAATCACCTGCTATAGGAGATATATGTATAAATTTGAAGCACAGTGTACAAAGATACCCATGTGGTGATCAAAGAAAGGGTTTTGAGGTCCTTAAAGAGCTATGGGGCTTACTATGGACTGCGGAAGGCGGCACTTAGGCACAAAGAAGAGATAAGATCTGGATTCTGGTAAAAAGACAAACAGTGCGCAGGGTGTGGGTGTATGTGAGGAATGCTGGCTTATTTTAATTGGAGTGGAGGAGGTGTGAAGAGGATTAGTGGAGAAAAGGAGACTAGATCAAAGAGCCTTGAGTGCAAAGAAAAGGACTTTAGACTTTATTTGTAAATAATGGGAAGCCAGCTAACTTTTTTTTAAAGAAGAGCTTATTGATTTTTAGAAAGAGAGGAAGGGAGAGGGAGCAAGAGAGAGAGAAACATTGATGTGAGAGTGTAACAGCATAACATCGATCAGCTGCCTCCTGCACGTCCCCCACTGCGGATGGAGCCTTCAACCTGGGCACGTGCCCTGACTGGGAATCGAACGAGCAACCTTTTGGTGCAAGAGATGCTGTGCAACCAACTGAGCCAAACTGGTCAGGACAGACATCTAACATTTTCACAGGGGGGAGTAATATGATCAAATTGTTCTGGGTAGATGAATCTAGCAGCTGAATGAAAATGAATTGCACAGAATAAAAAGCTAAAGGCATAACACGACTGCCATAAGTCTTACTATTTAAAAAGAATCACTTAGCTATTTTTATTATTATTAGTAACAACCAATAACTGAGTGATTATTGTGATACAAAACTAAACTCTATATATATCCTTACTGAGTGCTCCCACTGTCACAAGGATTTCCCCATTTTATCGATAAAGGGACAGTCTTAGAGTGGCCAGAAAGTGGCCGAATCAGGATCTGGCTACCAAAGTCTGTACTCCTCACTGCTTTGGGTGCTGGGTACACGGCTGGGATTCTGAACCTCTTGACCGATCCAGATTGTTCTCCTTCCTAAGACAGGCAAGAGCATGAGGCAGCCGGACCCCTCTGAGAATGGGAAGGTCCAGGACAAAGAGCCTCGGGAAATCTGGTTCTCCTTGGCAGACAAGGCTGACTGTAGGAGAAAGGGAGTGTTTCTCTGGGCTACATTTTTTTTTGGGGGGGGGGGGGCGAGGGAGAGGGGAGCACACCTCACAATAGATTCCCTAAATCTATTCGGAGTTAAATTGGTTCCTCCCTGGAGGATGGTAAATGAGAATAAAAAGGGGACACGGTCTGGGATGTCTGAAGCAAAGATGGAGCTTCTTATGTCAGGCCTCCCCTGCCTGCTGAGGTAGCAGCAAGCAGAAGACAGGGAGTGGGGAACAGAAAGGCTGTGACTCAGAAATTCCTTGTTTACTTGGCTCCTGAACAGAGTGGTAACTGGATCCAGGTGTGTGCTCTGGTTTTGTTTGAGCCTTTTGGCCACAGGCAGGGAAGGAGAGGAAAGGCGCTGACCGTATCTATAGACAGAGTAGGTGGCTCTATCAGAATTGGTGGAGGCGCTGACAGAGGCTGGCCCCAGCGGCTGCGGTGGGCCTCGGTGGGCCTCGGTGGGCCTACAACTAGAGTACCTTTGGTGCTGACCAGGGCACAGCTTTTGTCATGAAAGGAGATGCATTGTAAGGGGCTAGAGAAGGAAAGGACCAGCATGGCGGGCACCGAGTAGCCAAGGATCGGTAGGTGGGGTACATGCGAGCAGCTGCTTGAAAACATCCAGGACGAGCTGAGAGGAAGTGAGGTGGTGGACATTCTCCCGGAGCAGGCAGGGGAAGAGTCCGCTGTGGATGGCATTTGAAGGCATCCCTGCGGTCCAGTGTGACTCTTCATTGTAGGATAATCTTTAAACTGTTTTTGGAAAGTTTGGGATCTCCAATTTTAACGACAAAGGCCCCAAAAGTCCAGGGTTCCAGTTTTTCTTTCTAAAATCCCACCACTTTAAAGGAACAAAATTTTGCCACAATCTCTTAGATTTTGATATTCAAATAAGTAGAGTCTTTGTTGTTGTTGTTAATCCTCACCTGAGAATATTTTTTCCCTTGCTCTTCAGAGAGAGTCAAAGGGAGGGAGGGAAAGAGAGAGAGAGAGAAACATTGATGTGAGAGAGACACATGGACTGGTTGCCCACTGCAAGTGCCAGACTGGGGGCAGAAAGAGAAACCACAGCCGAGGTACATACTCTTGACCAGGAACTGAACCTGAGACCCTTCACTGCCCAGGCCAATGCTCTAACCACTGAGCCACCGGCCAGGGCTTGAATGAGTAGACTTTCTTAAAAAAGGACTAGAGTTCCTCAAGGTCAGTGATTGGCTCTGTAACACCAAACTCAAGAGGTGCTCAGAGTAGCTGCTGAGTTTAACTCAGCACAAGCTTCTTCCAAAACATGCAGAGCATACTTGAAATGCATTAATATAATTTTTAAAGCCAAATTTTTATTTTCACCTAGTTAAAGAAAAAAAAAAGGCTAACCTCATGCATCAATATGCCTGTTTTCACAAAGCCTTTGCCCACAGTCTGTAAGTTGTCCTAATACTAAGACCAAAAGCCAAAAAGCAAATGTTTTTTCCTCGAGAAAATCTGGAAGAGGTAATTATACTAAAACATACTAACTCAGAAGGATCTGTTTCACTGTTTTTGCTTGTGGAAGTGGCATAATTAGCCAAACATTGTCCTGAGACAAGAATAAAAACCAGAAATCAAGGTTCGCCTTGCCATGGCCTCCCTATTTTGTTGCCCTACATGACGTATTCCTGGTGGAAATGAGGCTGTAGACGACAAGCACATTTATCAGGGTTTGAGGGTCCCCAGATAGCGGAAAACATCCCTGGTCACTTCATACACACCCCACCCTTGGAACTAGTGTGCTTGAATCCAATCTGCTGACACTATATTACTTAACCTTGAAGTATTGGGTTGGCTGAAAGTCTTTATTGAGGACCTACTATGCAGACAGTGTAGAATTAGTAGTTCTAGAGTTAAGAAAAAAAAAAGGCCAAAATAGGACCTGGAACCCCCAAATTTGGCTTATAAGCTAGTTGAAGAAAATGCAGTAAATATACATGATTGAAAGACAATATTTGTTCCTCAGATACTTTCTGGGTGCCTACTGTGCGCTAGGCCTCATGATAGACCAGCGGTAGGCAAACCACGGCTCGTGAGCCACATGCGGCTCTTTGGCCCCTTGAGTGTGTCTCTTCCACAAAATACCATGTGCGGGCACGCACATACAGTGCGATTGAAACTTCGTGGCCCATGCGCAGAAGTCGGTTTTCGGCCTGGGCGAGTCTATTTTGAAGAAGTGGCATTAGAAGAAGTGGGGGGTGTCGGTTGGTCGGGCGACGGGAGATGCGGCACAGGTGGGCCTTGGGATACGCAGTGCGGGGGAGGTACATTGTTTTGAGGTACGTTCGCTGAGGTCAACCCCTTCCAACTCTCCCATCCACACTCGTCTATCTGAAACAAGTATACAAGACAAATGTGGATGGGAGAGTTGGAAGGGGTCGACCTCAGCGAACGTACCTCAATCAGATTGAGGACGTTTTTAGCAAAGGCCAGCTTAGGTGTAACCTAATTAAGTTAATAACAATGTACCGACCTATATAGTTTAAGTTTAAAAAATTAGGCTCTCAAATGAAATTTCAATCCTCCTCCTCTCCCT